CCCCAAAACCCCAAAACCCCAAAACCCCTTTTTAATTTCAGTAAATTGAAATAACCATGCTAGTCAAGACTAACATTTCTCCTACATTGGAGAAGACGAGAAGTCAAGAGAGTACTTCCAGCACAAGTGATGCTGATCTAGGTGAGGCAAAGAAGAGCTTGTCCTCTTTTTGTTGCCAAGAGGACTTTATTAAATTTCATCCGTCCTCCTCTTGATTCAGTAAGAGCAAAATTTCTAAATCTCAAGTTAAAGACTTTGGTCATTTTAAGAATGGTAAGGAATTTTATGGAACTAAATCAATCTAGGCGAGCCTGAAAAATCTTCCAAATCATGTTTGGATACTTTGGGTAAGTACATCGCGATCTAAACGCTCTGATCTAAAAATTGTCCATTTTGCAGCGTAATTTAGCCAAATCCGGCAATATTTTCTATGGAGTTAAAGGTTTTAGGCAAAGCTTACGAGGAGTCTCAGTCAAAGGTGCTAAAGAACCCTGATCTTGAGATCGAAGACACAGCTTACAATATTGATGATAATGAGTCGTATGATTACATACCCAATTCAGACCATTCTTTTATCGACGAGGCTAGTTTTGAAGCTGTTGAGCAAAAGACTGAAAAGGCAGAACATGGTTCAAAAGAGCAAAATGAAGATGGAATGAAACCTGATGTTGAGATGGAATGAGCAAGTATATCCGAAGCTCCAACCGTTGAGCACATACTAGCCCCACCGCCTTCAGAAGTACAGCAACAAGTCCTTCCAAAATTAGAGATTATGAGTAGCCCACTTATTTCTCCACAAAAAGTGACTCTGCCAAGCCCTTGACCTAAGTTTTAAGGATGTTGAAATGAAAGAAGAAATTCCTGAAATTTGAGATGAGTTCAAAAACAAGCTTAAACAGGAGCCTAAAGAAGAGATTAAGAACCAGCCAAAGCTGTTGCTTAAAGAAGAGCTTAAGGTGCAACTAAAAGAGGAGAAACGCGAAGAACTGAAAGCAATGCTCAGGCTCTCAATAAACCCATTTAAAACAAAAGTAGTCTCCGTGTTGGATGAATTCTATGAATATTTAGACCGAAATAACCTTGCTGATGTAAGTCACTGCCTTAAAAATAGTGCCGGACCACTCATTATTTGCATAACCAGGAGAGGAAGGAAACTGGCTCAGATTGTGACGAGGATAACTCAGGTAAGTTATCTCGGAATCCTGTAGATAAGCACAAAATGCAGACCGAAGGAGAACTCCCAATCATTCAAAATAATACATTTGGCATGAAACTTAAAGATATGGTAAGGCTTTATCAGTCTAAAATTAGTTCGAACGCATCGAGGGTAATGGCAAGTTAGCTTCAATCTCTGACATTGCAAGGAACGAGCTCAAGGGGCTTAATCCTGACAAAGACAAAGAGGATTATTATGCAGCTGATGACTTGTTTATCAATAATGATGAGGTAAGCAAACTCTTGATCATCGTATACATTCCTCTCTGGTACTTTAGCAAAACTATACATATGAGCCAGACGTGCTCTCATTCACCATTTTGCGAACTCAACCTTTTCTATAGGAGGAAGAAGATTCTGATTCTGAATCCAGTCATGACGAATGCGATCGTAAATTTTATAAATCGTTCAGGTTCGTCCCAACTCGCAAGTTAAAGAAATATGCCAACAAGATAAGTAAGTACGGGCTTAGGCTTTTTAGATAGAAGGAAGGCTGCCAGAAAAATCATAAAAAATGAAGAAATTCTAGAAAAGTGAAACAAAGTCGAGGAGTTAAGGAAGAATAAAGCTTGTGACTCAACAAATGAAATGTTAGGATCATGCCCATCCCTTCTTATTTTGCAAGAGATCGTTGACAAAGTCATGGTGAGTAAGAACCTGCGATTCAAACATTGGAAGGACAACTTTCCCAATATTTTGACCTTTTTCACCAAGATGTTTGAAGAATCTGATAAAGCGAAGATCATGGAATATCTGTATCTTTTCAGGTAAGCGAAGTACCTCATAAGTAGGGATAAAATAAAGGAAAGGAATAAGCTCAGAAGCATGTTTGAGGCATTAAGGAAGGAAATCAAGAACTCCTCTGCTCAGGTGAACCAACTCAATTTGAAATCTTCTACTGAAATTTTTGAAGGTATTTGCTCGTTTTTCACTCATAGAAATATTGAAGAACCAGAAATTACAGGAAATCTTTCCCAAAATAGGCAAGGCTATTAAAGAAAGCTTCACTATATGCTACAAGATCACTAAGTATAAGTTTGGGGAACACTACAGAAGCCATCACTCTATTAACACTCAATATGTCGATAAGAATCTGACTTATATTCAGAACCAGAAGCTTAAAGACTTAGATAAGAATCTGTGCACTTATTTACTCAAGAGATTTAATGACATTTATGACTTGTTTGCTAAGGATAGCATCTTTACTTACCCTGAAGATGCTAAGTCAGATGAGAGCGCCTTTAAGAAATCCCTGATGCAATGCCTCAGAGCCTACATGGAGAAACCTATCGGGTACAGGATTTATAGTCACAATTACGACGTAGAGAAAGCTAAATAATTTCATCATGGAATATACGATATATCCTTCAGTTTTTGAGATTAAAATAGGGGTTTTGGGGTTTTGGGGTTTTGGGGTTTTGGGG